GGACAGCCGCCCTGCTCACTCTGCCCTAAATCCGCTGCTGGAGAGAGGAGATCTCAGGAAGACCAGAGTGGAGTGAAGAGGTTGCGAGGACTTTAGACAGGAAAGATCTGGGAATGAACTTGATGAACCTGAGAGGGGCTATGAAGGAACATAGTCTTTGTGAATTACCAAAGAAGCCCCATGAAGGGGAAACTGAAGAAGGGGGCTGTTTACTAGGCACCTTGAGGCGCTGTCAGGTGCCCAACTGCTTGAGCCATTTAAAGTCAGAATAGACAGACTTTGTACAGAATGGTTCTGAATTTGCCAGGAGAAGTTCAAGCCAACCTCAGAGGTTTTCCCATGCCTGATTTCTACATAGGTATATACCATAGTTAGGGGGTGTTTTTGCTGCAAGGTCACAGAATCTATGGATCCCCCCTTTCCTCTATATAGATTGTCATAAAAGTTCACCCCTACTGTAAGAGTGCTGGCGTAGTTCTGTGACCTCATAACAAATTCATCCTCCTAATTATGGATACATCTACACAGCAGGGCTAAACTCAAAATAAGCTATGCAACTTGAGCAGCAGCGTCAGTTTCACCAGCAGGCTGAATCCGGATGCCTGGGGCAGAGCAGCTGGGGTCCTGCTGGGTTGGTCCCGCAGCGCCGAGGGGCGGCACTACGGCACCAACCCAGCAGCACTCCAGCTGCTCTTGGGGACGCCTGGGGCAGAGCAGCTGGGGTCCTGCTGGGTTGGTCCCGCAGCGCCGAGGGGCGGCACTACGGCACCAACCCAGCAGCACTCCAGCTGCTCTTGGGGACGCCTGGGGCAGAGCAGCTGGGGTGCTGCGGGGTTGGTCTTGTAGTGCCACTCCTCGGCGCTGCGGGACCAACCCGGCAGCACCCCAGCTGCTCTATTGCAGGCATCCCCGATTCAGCTGCTGCTGAAACTGACCAGCAGCGGCTGAATCAGGGACGCCTGGGGCAGAGCCGGACTATCGTAAGGGGGGGCTATGAAGGGTCTGGGGTGGCCTCCCCTCCCACCCCACTCCAGACCCCTCATAGTCCCCCCTTCTGATAGTCCGGCATATCTGATAATCCAGCAGCCCCTGGGACCTGCCGGATTATCAGAAGTTTACTGTAATGGGCTTGCTGTGTAGACGCGTAATACTTTATTTCAGAATTACTGTCGTTATTGCAAAATAATGCTGCTGTGTAGACATGCTTTGAGGCATATGCATAGTACACCTACATCTGATTTTGCCTATAGATATTATATAGGTATTAAAGTGGTGAGAGTCACCAAAATGCACAGTCTATGGATGATATATCTATTGCCAGAAACACAGCTGCCTGCTCTGGATAAAAAGTTTAAAAAAAATGTCTCAATTAGGAATTGACAGAGTGGAAAGACCAATGGTCCATCTAGCCAGTGCCAGCTGCTTTAGAGCAAAGTGCATGCAACCCCACAGCAGGCAATTATGGAAGAACCTGCTCTAGGGAAAGTTTTCTACTAACCCTTATTAATTAGAGGTTGGTTCATGCCTTGAGGCACGAGGGTTTACATTCCCTTAAGAACTGAATTTAATCCTTACTGTAAGAATTCTCTATTTGTTGCCATTCATAGAAATGACAACCAATACATAAAATACAAGAGACTACTTTTTCTCTGCTTACTAATGCTAAGGGCTTGTCTACATGGGGAATAACTGTTCCACAGTAGCTTCCTGCACAAACTGATACTCAATATCAAGAGTGCTTTCTGGAATTTAGGACAATCCACTTTTGAAATAGATTACTCTAAACGGCATAAAGATACTTAGTGCAAAATAAGAGCATCAACACGGAGCATGAGCACAGAATAGCTACTGTATTTTATAGTCACCCCCTTGCTATTTCTAGCTTTCCTATGAATTCCTCATCTGGATAACCTCCCTATTGGTTGGAAGTGGCAGTAAAAAACTGGTAGAGAGCTCTTCATCCAAACAGGCAACTCCACTTTTACAAGCAGATCCCCAAAGGTGGCAGTAGAAAAAAATCCATGTGCACCTGCAAGTCTGTGCACCATATTGTGTACCTAAGTACCTCTTTAGACATGCAATTATCCAGTCCACATGTGAAGATATTTGTGCAAGTGCCCATTGCCCTCCTCCCGCCCCCCCCATACTCTGGTTCAAGATCTGGACCATAGTGACTTATGAAACAGCAGCAGTTGTAAAACTTGAAGACATTGCAAACAATAAAACCAACTGATGATTTTAGCTTGGCTCATAATGCCAGCAGCTAGAGGTTTTCACTGACACACTCTTATTCAGCAACTTGAAAAAAACCACCAGTTTCCTGACAAAGGCAATTGCTTCTGTTGTTAAAAACACCAACTGAGAGCACAAGATATACTATCAGACTTTAGGTTAGCCACTGTTTGACACACAGCTTCTTGCTTCTGCTCTACTAGAATATATGAGCTGGGGTAAAGGGTTGGGATAGACAACCTCAGATATAAGAGGAAGTGAGGCAAAAAGTTGCTGTTATAAACATTCAGCGGTAATTTGAAATAAGAGCATGAGACAAAATGAAATGCTGACATCAGAATCAGTTTTGGGATGAGAATGCTGTTCAATTAGGGCTGCATTCTTCTCCTCCACCGTGTGGCATGACAAAACAGCTTAAAGTCTTCTGTCTACACAACCTCTTTGGCTCATAATATTTTTTCCTCTCATTTCAAAACCTAACATTTTAAAGGGACACAATAACTGGGAAGGAGGCAATGAGAGAACAGCCCAGAGTTCTTTTCCAGTTACTTGGGATTAAAGCATTTGTTTCAATACCTGGATGCAGTGACATCAATTTTGAATGGAAAGAAAAAATTGAATGACTTCTTCAGAGCCACATACAAACTGGAGGCCTGATCCTGCAATATGTTCAGCACCCTTAAGTCCCAATAAAACGAGCACCTCACATGATATATCCCCAGCCAGGGGGATTAGAGCTCTAAACTCAAACCCTGTCTGGGGAAGAGAAAGAATGATTTGCTTCAATTTTAAAGGGAACATATTAATACCCTAGCAAGTCAAGTAAGTATTGTATTTATTATAGGATTTCAGCTAATCTGGTGTGGCTTTTATTCTGCTGTTGTTCCATTCCACTATTGCTTGCAGCAACATCCATTTATACAATAGCAGAGTCAGCTTCCCTTTCCATAGTCCTCAAATAATCATTTACTATAGTGCAAGGGATTTTTGTGAGTGTGTGCAATCCTATTCCTCTTTTCATAGCAGCTCTTGACTCATCAACAGTATAGAGAAAAAAAGAAAAGTTCCGACCAGCAATTTATCAAGTACAGAACATAACATTCTGCACACTAACAATGTTACAGACTGACACATCTACCAGACTGGAAAATGCTTAGCTTGTGCTTTGCCCCTCTGCTATTTACAGCCCCAAAGGAGGCTAACAGGACCACCTTGAAAAACAACCACTTGCTGCACTTACAAAGTTTATAATCAGCTGTCTGACATTCTTTCATGTCAAAGCTGCTAGCCAGAGTTATATTATCCATTGCACAGAAATCTAGAAAATGTACAAAGGCTTAGATTAAATATAACAGATGCTTTGGCTGGTTCAAATAATGGGGTGGATGCCCCTAAAACCCATTTTCTGCAACATGTTTTTCCTACCAATGACCTCTTGACACAGTTAGTTTAATCATTTTCAATTTATGGACCCTTAAATGGAGGCAGTTGGGATGACTCCAGGATGAGACAGACAATGGCTGTGTCTAGACTGGCCAGTTTTTCTGGAAAATCAGCCGCTTTTCCAGAAAAACTTGCCAGCTGCTTACACTGGCCGCTTGAATTTCCACAAAAGCACTGACTTCCTACTGTAAAAAATCAGTGCTTCTTGCGGAAATACTGTGCTGCTCCCATTCGGGCAAAAGTCCTTTTGCGCAAAACTTTTGCGCAAAAGGGCCAGTGTAGACAGCTTGGATTTGTTTTCGGCAAAAAAGCCACGATTGCGAAAATGGCGATCAAGGCTTTTTTGCAGAAAAGCATGTCTAGATTGGCACGGATGCTTTTTGTTGCGGAAAAGCATCCGTGCCAATCTAGACGCTCTTTTCCAAAAATGCTTTTAACGGAAAACTTCCGTTAAAAGCATTTCCGGAAAATCATGCCAGTTTAGACGTAGCCAATGAGTTTCTTTATGAGAGACCATGTCAAAGGTAGAAACAGATGAAACCCCTCTACTCTTTCATAGATCTTTCTGTAACACAAGAACAAATGTGTCACTCAATGACACTAAAGGCTGGTCAATTTGAAACCAAAAGAAATACTTTATGCAGTATGCACTGATTAATACTCAAAGTCAGAGTCAAATACTATAGTTATATTCTAAGTGGAGTGGATAATTTTATGACCAAAACTAAGTGTAGATAGGATGCTAAGACCAAGGTAAAATGTTATGCTTAGGGACATAAACTAATAATTGCAGAAATCAGAAAGGAATTTCCCCTGCCCCTAGCATGTACATCGCTGCAAAACAGGCAAGGGCAGGAATTCAAAACAAGGCTTCAGATGGCCTTAAGTGGTACATAGAACTTGTGCAGATATTATGGAGGATTTTCAGCTTCCTCTCAAGCATCAGGCATAGGCCAGCCAAAATGAAGGAAAATGATTGTGACAGGCCACTGGTGAAATCTGGCATAGTGAACTTTAGAGCGAGATTGATTCTAGAACAAAATGCAGCTACAATGGAACCTCACGTCAGACAAATATTTCTGAGGACTCAGTACAATGAATGAGCCTTACTGACTTCAGAGGAGATAGTCACTTGGACCAAGGCATATAAGACTACATATAGAATGGGATGGGTTGGATTTTGTTCAACAAAGCATTTTGGTTTATCAGTGTTTGTTCCAGCAGGGTTAGACAATTTTCCTTTTCAGCTCAGAATATTACTTCTATAAAAACATTACACATTACAGTGTCATTTAAAAGCCCATTTCAAGGCCCTGAGTAATTACCTCCTCTAGCCTTCGCCTTTGCTCCTTCTGTTCCTCAATCCGCTTTTGCCGCTCTGCCAGCAGTTGCCGCTTGTGCTCTTCATTCTCTCGCTGCTGCTGTTCCAGCTGCTGCCGTCGGAGGGCCTCTGAACGCTCCTTATTTGCTAGCTGAAGTCTCAAGAAATCCCGTCTCAGTGTTGACTCTCCAGGCAAATTGAGGATGGAGCTTCACAGGGAAAACCAGAGATGTTCTAACCATGTGTTTATGCGTGGGATAGAGAAATTCTGCATGTGTATCTAAGTTTCACTCCTTTTCCCTTTTGGCTTTGCATTAGGCCATTGAGAATATTTGGAGGAGATGAGGGGGGGAGTACAGGCACAGTATTTGGTGAAGGAAAGCAGGATATCACAAATGGACTAGTTAAAACAGCTCAGATACTTGCCAGTTGTTCTGCTGCCTCATTTTTATATGGGTTTGGGAGACAAGCTCCATGCTGGATCAACCTTGAGTTTGTGGCACAGCTCACATGAAGAAAGGGTCCTTACACTGCTCACAAACTCATTAGTAATTTATGTCAAGTTTTTTTAAGAATGTCTCTAAACCAAAGTCCCTTCCATTGCAGTGGCATGCACTATATTTAGTTGTTCACAAAGCAGATTTAGAATGAATCATTGAAATAAAAATACCAGATTACCTCTGTGAAACAATGGAATAGCTTGATACTAATTACAATGATTCTTAAAAATGTCATCAAAACAAAGTTCAACCACTGTATAGGTCGAAGAAGCAGTTGGAAAGGTTTCTTGATGAGAAACTACACATAAATAGGGAACTATACTTGGAAATAAAGAACCATATTGTCAAAATTGAGCCTACAATTTTACCACAGCAAAATTCTTACACGTGCAGTTTCCCACATCTAGGTTCCTGTGAGCATAAACATTTGTATGCGCAAAATTCCTTTATACAAATTAGTTAGTTAAGCAAGCTATGTATTAGTCATCTTACTATCTGGTTTGCTTATGCAAATATAACTTGCATATACAATGTTATGTATATAAGATATGAAAAATTGCAAGAACAATTTTGGAGGCTGATATCACCTGGACAACCTGGAATTGATTAATTTTGAGGCCAATGACTAAGCAGACAAGTCACACAGCTGTCTCCATAACATCATATGAACAAGAAAATACAGCTGTGATTATTACCCCAGGTTTTTATTTTTTAAGAAAGAAAGAATAAAATCAAGTAATTAACATTGAGAGACCAATGTCATTTGAAACCCCAATATACAGATGTCCACCAGTGAATAGTATAATACGTAGAACTTCAGCTTTCTTGTGACATTAGCTTATTGTATTGTAAATCACAAAGAATATGAGGTATTTTTTCTCAGACTTTGCGTCAAGGTGAGCCAAAGCATCAATTTAATATCCAGACACCATCTATCAGAGGGATTATAGCCCAATGTTGCCGAGAATACACTCAATTATCAAATTGGACTTTTTTCATCTTGGGCTCATACGATCCTATAATCCTAACCAATTTAGTACAAAGTCAGAGAGATATAAGGGAAGAAATGAACACCTGATTTTTTACCTGGGCTCTCCAGAGTCATTTTCTTCTTCTTCTTCCTCACTTCCACTGTATTCATACTCTGTTTCATCTAGGAATATAATTGAATGTCAGTGGCCTTTACTGTACTCATTTGTTTTTCTACTGATCGAAGACCCAGATGCTCTGGTTTGAGAACTGAAACCTCCTTTATTTTACCCTCATAAAATCAATAATAGTCTCAAGTTTTTTGTCCAAAAAGTCTGATTCTAAATTAACATCACAAAGACAAGGAAATTCGGTCAAAAACATAATGCATTTAGCTTTGCCTAAGTATACAGCTGTCATCATGCAGTGGCTGTCTGTCACATGCCATGCATTCCTTTGCACAATGTTAAAGAAGGAGTTGTAGTCTAAATACTGAATACTGTGTTCCTGATTCAATGTTCTACATGGATCTGTATTAACAGAGTAGAAATATGCTGATGTACAGATAGAAACTGAGAATACCCTTTTGTAAAATAAAAATATAAAAATACACTAATGACAAATATGTAAAATACAATTCTGAAACTCCTTTCAGTGAACACTCTTGCTAAAGCAAAGTTCTATAGCAACAAACCTGAGAAAAAGGGATTTAAATACAGCTCTAAATGCATAAACTTCCTTTTTCCTAAACACATGCACTTTTTACTCTATTAATATCTATATTGATATTTCCCAGTCAATGAAGGCGTTTACCTAAATACCCAATTATAATGGTATACCACATTCTGCAATTTCTATTGGGATATAAGTGAAACGTAGAATCTTTATCGGATGAAGAGAATTATAGAAAAAGAAAAGCTTACATTTATCCAATTATTTTCCATCTCTAGGGTACAGCCTTCATTTGCTAGACTAAATACATTTAATACTTCACTAGAATCTGGCTTTATTCTTTTCATTTTTACTGAAAAATTTATCAGGAAATGGAATTTAAGCATAAAAATGATATTGCTTAAAAGAAATCAGAGTAATAATGATGTGTTAATTGGCTGGTTTCTACAAGAAATTTCAGCCATTGAGATCAAAACTAGAATACAGTGCACCATGGGCAGTTGGTGCATCTGGGGCTGGAGGAGGCAGGCCCCCAGCACCATCTACAGCTCCACCCCTTCTGTTGAAGCCCTGCCATGTGTGCGCCCCCACCACAGAGAGGGAAGGAGAAGAGACGGAAGGTGGTGGGCACATGTGCACCCCCCAGTCTCCCTGGCCCCCAGAGCACTGGGGGAAGATGGTGCACGGCGCACCTCCCGCCTCCCCAGAGCTCTGAGGGAGGGAGGAAGGTGCATGATACGCCTCAGCATCAGGGAGGGAGGCCTCCCTGACGAGGAGCATGGGGAGGGCAGGCACTGGGGGCAGCAACACTCCACCCCCAGAATGCCTATAGCAGGTGTTCTAGGGGCGGAGTGTGGGGGACCATGCTTGGAAGTTTGGGAAGGTAAAGCCTTCCCCCGCCTAGGCTACCAGATTCCTGTGCAGTACACAGTCAAATGCTGGCACTGACAATATCTTAGTTTAATAACTTTATCTATGAGGCCTTCCTTTATCAGACTTCACTGTCTCTGTATTTAAGTCAGTTCATAGAAAATGTTTTCATTTCTGTAAGTTATTCCTATAACAGATACTGTTGTAAACTCTTTGGGGCACAGGCTTGATTTTTATTTGTACAGACCCTTGCACAGTTTATAAATATGATTTGTGCTGCGTCATTTTATAGGGTAATATAAGACAACATGACCTGAGTGGGTTCCAACTTCTCTGTATGCATGTGTGTATGTGTGCATACAAATTCCAAATACCTAAATTCAAAATTATTAGAGCCAGCTAGGCTCCTATCCTGCTCCTAGTGAAGTGAATGATAAAATACCCATTGCCTTTAGTGGTGCAAGATTTGATGCTAAATAACACAAGACATTAGATCTGGCCCAAAATGATTTTTGTTCCCATGAAAAAAATTAAACAAATAGATATTAGTACTCACTGTATTCTTTTTTCCCCCAAGTTACTAGGTTTTCATTGAAAACCAAACCCTTACACCTCTCAGTTTTGGGGATTTTTTACATGAAAATTTAACATAATTGAAGAGTATTGAAAATAGAAATTCTTTGCCCCCAAATCAAAAACATTTTTCATCAGAAAAAAAAGTTTTGAATGAAAAACTTGGACCAGCTTTAATAACAATGACTCTATGGCAGGGGTGGGCAAAAGGCCCTCTGTGGGCCAGATCTGGCCCGCCAAATGGGTTGATTTGGCCTGCAGACGCCTTGCCGCTCCCCTGTCCACTGGCCAGTCAGGGTCTGGTGATGGGAGAGCGCGTGAAGTCTCCTTCCCCGCCAGGGGCACGTGGCACTTAGAGTCAACTGCCAGGGTCTATGCGCCGTGCACCCCTTGAAGCGCAGGGGCATTGAGCAAGAGAATTCATGCACTCTCCCTGCCCCAAGTCCAATCAGAACCTGGGGGCAGGGAGAAGTGCATGAAGTCTCCTCCCACCCTTCCCCCATCCTGCAAGGGGCATGCAGTGCTTAAGAGTCAACCACCAGTTGAGTAGCTGGCATTTGACTCTAAGCACAGTGCCCCCTTGCAGGGTGGGGGAAGGGACCAAGAGACTTCCCGTGCTCCCTCTGTCCCCAGTCCCTGATTGACCAGGGGGTGCGGGGAGTGTGATTCATAGATTCATAGACTTTAAGGTCAGAAGGGACCATTATGATCATCTAGTCTGACCCCCTGCACAGTGCAGGCCACAGAATCTCAACCACCCCTCTTAGAATAATCCTCTCACCTATATCAAAGATATTGAAGCATTCAAATACTTTGAAGGACCCAACATGCAGAGAGTCCTTCAGCTGTGATCTGTGCCCAATGCTACAGACGAAGGCGAAAAACCTCCAGGGCCTCTGCCAATCTACCCTGGAGGAAAATTCCTTCCCGACCCCAAATATGGCGATCAGCTAAACCCTGAGCATGTGGGCAAGACTCACCAGCCAGACACCCAGAAAGTTCCCTATAGCAACTCCTATCATCCCTCCATTGACCTATTTCCCACTGATAATGAATGGTCAATTAGTTACCAAGATCATGTTATTTCATCCAACCATCCCCTTATCATAGAATCATAGAACTGGAAGAGACCCCAGAAGGTTGTCAAGTCCAGCCCCCCGCTCTAGGCAGGACCAATCCCATCTAAATCAAGTGTCCTCACGCTCTGCAAGGAGCACATGGTGCTTAGAGACGGCCGCCAGCTGCTTGACTCTATTACTCTACTCAGCTGGCAGTTGACTCTAAGCACTGCATGCCCCTTGCAGTGCAGGGGCAGGGAGCAAGAGACTTCCCATGCTCCCCCCTGGCCCTGGGTCCTGATTGACCTGGGGGTGGAGGGAGCGCGTGAAGTCACCTTCTGCGGCCAGGGGCACGGGCACTTGGAGGGAGCCACCAGCTGTTCAGAACAGCTGGCAGTTCTCTTGGGGGGGACAGGGGCAAAGACCTCACATGTTCCCCCTACTCCTAGGGCAATCAGGGTCTGTGGGCAGGGAAGCATGGAAGAGTCCTGCCCCTGCCCCTTCCACCTGAGGCCCTGCCCCTTCCATGCAGGCAGGGGCTGCTTCAAAAATGTCTGAAGTGCACCCTGCAACCCTCTCCCCCCATTTAAAATTATTGCCCATCCCTGCTTATGGCTTTGGCAACACATAGTCTGTGCTATGATTTAACTGACTTAGATCCCTGCAGCTGCCTTAGCAGGGACTCTTATTATGGGTTCAGAATGCTACTTTTTGACTAAAACAAGTAAGAAATTCATTTAAGCAACACCAAAATAGTTTACCCTTCATTTAAATTAAGAGTGACTGCACCACAGAGCTGTACCCATTTCACTAAATCAGTTTTTAAATGAGTAAAATTCATGTTCAACCTGTGACCAGCTCCTAAACTAGTATGATTTCAGTACAGCACTATGGCCCAGTTCATAGAGCAGGGACTTGTTCTACTATATATTTATCCTGTACCTAATTCAGCTGGGCTTTCGTCTGTGATTGAGCTCCAGGTATTACCACAATACATATAATAAATAATAGCCTCTACTGCTTTGCTGCTAACCTTTTTCTCCTCGCTTCTTCTTAGTCCTATCAATATGATCCTTAAGCTGGATGCGAACCTGCCTTTCATTAGGCTGGTCTCGAATAAACGGGTGCTTCATCAGTTGTTCAGTTGTGGGCCTCTGACTGTGGTTCTTCACTAGGCAGCTTTCAATGAATGACTGAAATTTTTTAGACCTAGCAGGGAAAAAAAATATGAAACTATGTTAAAAAACAACAACCATGAATCAAGAATTATGTCCAGTAAAAATGCGTCTGACATTTTCTGGATACTTGAAAGGAACAGCCAACTTGAATGTTTTATTTTTATTTTTTGTAAATACAGTAAATTTAAAAAAATAATTATTATTAAATGTTTCAATAGTAATGTCCTGAAATATTTTTTCTGCTTTCCTGTTGATGGTTAGAAGGATCTCTCTGTTCTTCATGATAAAATAAAAGGCAACAATTATTTATAGCAATGTATTATGCATTTTGTATGTAGTACTATATTTCTGGGATGAAGTGGGTTAAGCTAAGTGATTTACATTTACCCAATTGATATTACACAGATTTTTAAACAAACATATTTGTACAATCTCCTACTCATTCCTGTTGTTCTTAGGTCTTCACCAGGCCCACTGACTGGGGGGCGCAGGGAGGAGAAGGAAGCAAAGGAAGCCATTTCCCCAGGTCCCAGCAATTCTAAAGGTCCCAGGGTTTCTGGCTGCCTCTACTGCTACTGTGGCAGCAGCAGTGGCTGGAGCCCTAAGTCCTTTAAAATTGCCACAAGAGCACCATGTTCCAAAGACTTGCGTGGCCGTGCTCCTTCTGCCTGTGGCCCAACCCCTTCTAGGAGTGCTTGGACAGCCTATACTAATCTCATAGGACATTTCATTTTGCCTATAGTATATTTGTGAGATGTAGACTGTCAGCGGGTGTCCACATTGCTTCAACCTCCACTCATTTGTGGATCATGTCTAATGAGCTATCATTCTTGTGGTGCAGCGTGGCAGTGGGGATGAGATTGTGTTGACTTAGTCTAGCCAATACTCTCCTCCCTGCCTTGTTACAATGAGAAACTAAACCCCAGCCAAAGCAAACCTTAGAAAACAAATTTCTTTTGGCCTTGGAGTTTGCATATCAAAAGTTCTCCCTGGAACTAATTTCAGCACATTACAAACCCAAGAGAACAGGGATTTACAAGAAGGAGATGCCAACAGATCACAATGGTGCATGCTGCTTTAGCAAACTAGAACATTAGTGTAAATTAATGTCAGAAGCCAACAGATACTACAAGAATTGCATTGCTAGGTAAAACAATATGCTTCCAGGGATTTTATTTTTCAAACTGTCAGACTAAAAAGTGATTTATCTTTGAAATACTAATCCGTACAAATTGAGATGTGAAAATAAATACTATCAGCTCCAGTAAAATCCCCCATCCAGACTTATTAATGAGCAAATCTCTGACATCCACCCTCCCTCTGAAGAACAGTTCCTTGCAGTATTCCAGAAGGAGCATATTAGGGGAAGCTTTAGTCAGTCTAGTTCTTCATACATGTTAAGGGAGAGACTGAGGCTTGGACCATGTATTTGGAGCCATGTGGGTGACCCCCTCAAATATGTAGAGACAGAATAGCATTTGGGGGTCTGCCCATATAAATCAAATTGTAGGATCGGGGTTTGGATCACTGTAGAGAAATGTGGCCAAAGATTGGTATGCTGGACAAGAAGAACAACTGAAAACATCTTATTTAAGTGGCATTCTTATGTACTCTGCTTTAGAGATAATGTTTGCTTAAAACAAACCTTGACAAAGTAATTTGCTGGACCCTGCTGATGTGAGCTACCCCAAAAATCAGTGTTTAATTACATATTTAAAGTGTTTATTTGACAGTTATTGAACAATAAATACTAACTGGTTATTAACTGACTCTTCCTTGGGTTCAACAGAGATATATAAAATATCTACATGTAAGTGATAATGAATCCCAGCTGCCAGTCATGTGATTTTGTGCTCTGTACATTCCCTTAGATTAGTACCTCCTGTTTACCCAGTCTGCTTATATGCAGTACTAATATTTTAATACCCACCTGAAAATTAATTAGATTGTGACACTACATACTATAAAAATGTCAAACTGACAGACAAATTATGAGACATTCAGTGTTTTACTGGAAAACAAACACAGTGTGCTGCCTGTCCAAGTTTGAAAGATAGTCTTAACAACAGCAGTTAAAATGTTATCTTTTGCACGTGTGCATGAGATCATCTGTGCATCCACTTTTCAAACATCTGCATGGGCGCACAATGAAATTTATAAAACCCACTTGTGCGCTTCTCTAGTGGGCTCTGGCTTCTATTTCAAGGGGAAAGGCTGCAAAACTTGGCATTCTCATATGGCTTTCATCCTAATAAGGCAAAACTTTGCTATTTGAGATGTTTTTCACTTTGAGTTTTTGGATTTCTTTGAACATGAAATTCAAAGCAAAATCCTGGGAGTTGGAACTTTCTTGAATCAATGGAGAAAGAAGGACCACCCAAACCCCTATGAAACAGCCCTGCAGCTACATACAGCTCTATCTGTACCCTGCATTCTGTCACAGTGCAAGCCCAGGTTAGCATACAAAACAAAACCCAACTTTCTGAGAAATGACATGTAAAGCTCTGACAGGGTTGAGGCTAATGGGATGCCCACGCTCTTCTTGAAACTGCTAGTAGACCCTGCAGGTAACACATTAAACTGGTACTCATGAAATGGCAGCATGTGAGAATAGCCAAGCATTTCCTTAACAATTTCATGGTTCAGCACTTACACCATGCAAGTTTTCAGGGCCAGGTTATCTCCTGATTTAACTCCATGGAAGTCAATGCATTTACACCACCTAGATAACACGACCCTCCGTTTTGCATGTTTCCGGCAGGAAGCCTGGTAAAACGCATCAGTTTTACATGAGTTTCACTTTGAGATTATGGAAACTTTCAACCTCAGAACTGAGGGTGAAATGCTGCATGTATGAACCTGTGTGTATCAAAACCAAAGACCTTGTTTGTACCAAGTTGTCAGAGGCAAAACAGACAAATGATGCCTAATTGTAATTATTAGCCTGTTTTACAGATGAGAAAGATAAGGTGGAAAGAGTAAATTACATGGCCAGGAACACAGAAATTCATTTTCTAACCAGTCAGCACTTACACACTAGAACTCACATTTGCTAGGCTGCCAAACCTATATTAAGATTATTAAGTTTTTACTGTTTTTCCTTCTTTGTGTCTTCCAAATTGGATTTCCTCTCCCCATTAAAGCAACTGTCCTGTGATATGCTCTGATGACAAGTAGACACAGCTCTGATTGACTGAAACTGTAACACCTGTGTGCCAAACTGTTGAATACCCACTCACAGTCAGATCTACTCTTCAGACCCATTTTCTAGCTCTCTGTGGAAGAAAGGAGGTGACCAGGAGAGAGTCATGCAGGATTACTGTACACCAGGGCTACGTCTACACTGGCATGATTTTCCGAAAATGCTTTTAATGATTTTCCGAAAATGTTTCCGTTAAAAGCATTTTTGGAAAAGCACATCTAGATTGGCAGGACGCTTTTCCGCAAAAGCACTTTTTGCGGAAAAGCGTCCATGGCCAATCTAGACGCGGTTTTCTGCAAAAAAGCCCCGATCACCATTTTCACGATCGGGGCTTTTTTGCGGAAAACAGTACCGTGCTGTTTACACTGGCCCTCTTGCGCAAATGATTTGCACAAGAGGGCTTTTGCCCGAACGGGAGCATCACAGTATTTCTGCAAGAACACTGACAATCTTACATGAGATCGTCAGTGTTCTTGCGGAAATTCAAACGGCCAGTGTAGACAGCTGGCAAGTTTTTCCACAAAATCAAATGATTTTGGGGAAAAACTTGCCAGTCTAGACACAGCCCAGTGCCAGTCTAGACACAGCGGCTCTTCAAAGGAAAAATGGCAGCTCCCACACCCACGGCTCAGCTCCCGCACCTGCTCTGTGTTCCTCTGCTCTGACCTTTTTCCCTTGTCTGGTCAGGGCGCTGCTTAGGGCGAGATTCTTTTTTTTTTTTTTTTTGCTCAACAGCTTCTTTCCCTCGGCTCTTTGCACTGTATCCATGACTATTTCTGGTTCTTTGTCTGTAACAGGTTGGCCACCCCTGCTGTACACAGAAGGAAAAGCTGAATAGTCTGTTTTTCTGAATACACATGGACACCCCTTGTGCTTCTACAATCCTAGGAAATGTAGATGGGGGCCGGGGGCTTAACTGATTACATTATGGCTGAGGTATGAAATAACGCCTTTGTGCAGCACTTCACACTTTAACGGTGCCTTCCATCCATAGCACTCCAACCATGCTCGCTAAACATCATAGCAACCCGTGAGCTACATCATCATCCCAATCATCCCTATTTTACAGATGAGGACACGGAGGCCCGGTGACTTGGTCCCGGTCACACTGTGAGCCAGTGACAGAGCCAGAAAAGAATCCTCAGGAATCCCAGCCCTAGTCACTCTGTCTGCAGTGACTAAGCCCCTGGTGGAAGGGGAGAATGGAGACAGCACTGCTTCATGATGGCTGCATGCTGCCAGGTTGGGGCACACATTCCTTAAGAAGCTACAGTGTTTCTGGAAAAGACAGTCAAGCCCGAATGTCTGACACTCCTGAGTGCTCATGGCATAGGCCTGCCAAGAGCCAACAGAGCTCTGTGCACAGCAAAATGGCAAGCCAGCACATGGTTTACACCATGGGGCGAGGCAAAACTATCAGCCACAGTCACTGGGAACCCCAGAGTGCAAGGGCTGCTCAGGGCTAGTACCTCTGACCTTAGCCTCTCCAGAAGAGGAGCAAGGGAAGAGGACACATCCAGCAGACGCAGCCTGCCAGCCACACAGTTGCACATGTTTAGAGAGGTCCTGTGCTTCTCAATAGCTCCAGGAACCAGAAGGCCTCCAACAGCTCCTATTGCAGCTGATTCAGAGCTCCATTTTAATGGGACAATCTACCCCTTAAAGTGTGTCACAGAGAAAAGTCTGAGGTTTACTCTCTGATCTGTTTCCAATTCACTGTGACACCTTAGGGTGAGTGACATACCCTCACCGTCCTTCCACTCCCTCATGGAGTTGCATACACCTAATAGGACTTCCCTGCGTTAAGGGGAGGGTGCAGATACACATTC